GCTGCCCCTGGGAAAGGGTGTGACATGGGCCAGGAAGGCAGACCTCTGCAGCTGAGAGAAATTTCTGGAGGCAGCTTGAAGTTGAGGGCTGGCAGCTGGCAGCACTGTCAGCAGCTGGGGAATTAAGTACTTCACCCTTGAAGGGAGACAGGGTGGCACAGCAAGGTATCCATTGCTTTGGGTGAAGGATTCTGTGCCCATTGGAGCTTATTATTTGGATGGGTGGAATTAAATAAACATGCAAAATGATAATGCTGTAAGGTGACATCTGGCAGGTGGAGCTCCTAAAGCTCTAGAGGTTTGGTAGATGAGAGGAAAGATGGGCATTGGGGTGTCACATTTAAGGGGAACATTTGCACTGGGTCTTGGAAAAGCCTGGCTTGAAGATTTCTGCAATTAACCAGTCAAGGGAGTCAGAGTGAAATCCTTAGAGGGTAAAATGGGGCTTCCTTTACACAGACCACCAGAACAGGATGACAGCTAAGCATTAAGCCAGTCCCTGTGGCTGAGGAGTGACATCTGGCTAACTGCTGCAGCTTGGAGTCAGTTTTCTTGTTTTCTCTTCATTTCACGAAGTTCCAGGAAATGTTGCTGAAGAGGTCAGGGCCATCATTATCTCAGGCCTCAGTTCCTGTGGCTCTGGACATACTGGGGTATCAAGAGGACAAGCTGCAGCTGCTCTGGAGCTGGAACAGTTATTCTGCTCAGGGAAAGACAAGCCCAGTGACTTCCCCACAGTGAGTTGTATCTTTTCCTTCCACTCACTGCATGCTCATGAAGAATAGGATTTTCTGGAATGTGGGGAATTGCTTCCTCTGGCCAAGAAAGCTGAGGAGGCACTTAGCAAGCACATGAAGTACAGTGAGGAATTTTGCACATAAACAGGTGTCACATAGTGGTGTATCTAAGTGCTTGCCTAACCCTGAATCTCTCAACTTCTATTTCACGTCGACAGGAACCTCTCCCCCAGGGCTTGCAAGGTTCTTGTTTGGCTTAGACTTGTGACTGGAGTCAGGGCAGCACATTTGATCCCATGGTGGCTCATGTAGTCTTTTGGTTCCTTAAGTCAGCCAGCAACCTCACAGTAAGACCCTTCTCTGGAGAATGGAGCAGACACGGAGGATGGGAATGGAATGCATAGTGCGTGTGTGTGTGTGTGTGTGTGTGTGTGTGTATACATTGCTGACCTAAAGAGGACAGAAAGCCCAGCAAGTGGAGCTGTGATACATCCTGAAATAGGTGGCCAGGAGAGCAGGAGAAGGCAGAATGGAGAGAGAGAGAAGCTTGTGAGAAAAGACACCAAAAAGTCAGATTTCACCAACAGCGTCATGACACCAACAAATCTATGGTTCTTTCAATGGTGAACTGAATTCCAGTCTGATCCTGAGAGCATTAGGTGGCAATGAAGGTCACCTCCTCTGTACATTGAGTACTTAAATAAAGCTTAAGAAATGCTATGAAAAAGCACTGGCTGGCAGCAAAGAAGATTTGACTTTCATACTTCTTGTGAAAATAAACATTTGCCACTGAGCCATACATTCAACATTCTGGAGGACCTGCCATCACCTCTGCATTGGAATCAGGTTGTCATATTATTCCCTGTGCAAACCCACCCTAATGAGTGCATTGGATATTCACAGCCCCCTGTCAGCACCAGAACATAGTAGCTGGAACTCCAAGACGTGTATTAACATAGGTGACAGTGGGCCCCATTAATCCAGGGCCACAGGTACCTCCAGGAGGTGCTTAGGCCTCTGAGCACCTTTTAGGTATCAACACCAGGGGCATGACTCTGCCATGACCCCACCCCCATCTCATCTTGGACTCTCCTCTTCTGTGCCTTTTCTTCTTTGCTGTAGACAAGATTCTCACCTCCTCCCTGAACCATGCCTCTTCTAGCATAGGCCAACAAAATGAACCCATGTAAGGTGTTGATGATGATGGCTAGCTTTCCTACTTATTGTCTATTTGTATTCTCATAATAGCTCCAAAAGGCTGAAATGACCTTGACTTAAGCAGAAAGTCAATGCTGTTGACCCTGTGCTGTTGTTATGGATGCTAGGTTCACCTACACCACGATCCATCCACTTCAGCAGTTCCCCATGACTGTATCTTGTCAGCCAGACCAAAAGTCACATCCTGAACCTGGCTACAAGGAAGTCTGGGAGTTGTAGTTTTACTCTTTCCAAACTATATACCCACCCCTGTGTAAACCTAGGCAGGTACATACCCACTTCCCATTGCCTATATTTCTGCAGAGAGAAGGCAAGTCCTATCAATGTTTGACACTAAATGCAAAACTCTCTAGCAAAAAAAAAGCGATGTTGAAGGGTCAGGCTCTGGGAAGTGGCAGAACATGGCTCAGGCACTGAAAGATTTTATGCAAACCCACTTGTCCCTTCAGCTTCATATGACCTCCAGGTCTTAAACAGGCAGGAACTCAGTTTCTTAGGAACTTTCCATCCTTCTAAGGAAGAACTTACTGGGTTTCCTGGTCATGATGGTAAAGGTTATGCTTGGAAATAAACAGCCCATGGCCATCAGTGGCTTAAAATTAAAACTACTAGAACTTATGTCTTATTCATGCCACCAGTCCCTCTGTAGCTCAGGAAGGGACTTTAGAAAGATCCAGGACTCAGGCTGACCAAGGCTCCATCTTCACATTTGCTCCCACAGGTATTCCTGGTGAGGCAGGAAAAGCAGAACATGGCATCATGGCAGTAGCACACTTGTTCTGCAAGGCTGGGGCAATCTGCTCACACCCCTATACAGCAGCTAAAGCAAGTTACACTACCTGCTTAACTTCAGATGGGGGGTGGGGAAGCTAAATCTCCAGGACCAGAGGGCAGGAGGATTGAAAACTTGGTGAACAGCACTAATTAGGAGGGCTGTACCCTCCACCTTCTGTTCCCTGGACGCTCAGCTGGGATAGATGGCATTCCTCCATTGTCATTTTTCTTATCCTCCGGGCACTGAATAACTTTGAAGCTACTTATAAAATTTCCTGTGAAAAATGATCAACAGCAAAGTCCCCAGAGGCAAAATTCTAATCATGCTTTTCCTCATATTTATCAGTGGTTCTGTTTGCTATGCTTTGGTAGGCTGGGAATGCTGTTTAGTTTTGTGTAAAATTTTTGCCTCTAACATAGGCCTAAGATAGGCCCCAGAAGGTTCCTCTGGTTCAGCTCAGGAAGTCACCCTCACTCCAGCCTTCCTCTCACCACCACCTTCCCTCCATGTTGGAGCCATTTCTGACTCTTAGGAGTCCCATTTGCCTTAACCCCCTTCTATCATGCTTTTTTCTTGGCTTATCAATATTTACATAAATGCTTCATTTCCCCCACTAGGGTGTGAGCTCTCCAATCTTCTAGGAGGTTGATTTGATCCATTTAGGATTGTCTCTATGACAGAGACAGATTTTATTAAGTGTTTTTGAATGGCTCAAGGACTGAATCTCTGTATTTTCCCTCAAGGTCTTTTCTGTGAGAGGCGCTCAATGTATTTTGCATGAAAGATGGACAGATGGATGGCTGGGTGAATGGCCAAATTAAAGACTAAAATTCCATCTCATCCTAATCAGTTTGGCAATCATCAAGAAAAAAAACAAAAACAAATTCTGGTGAGGATTTGGGGAAAAGGGAACCCTGAAACACTAATATAAACTAGTGTGACCCCTATGGAAGTAAGTATGGAAGTTTCTCAGAAAACTAAAAAATAGACCTACTTTATGACCCATCCATACCACTCTTGGGCATATATCTCAAGGAGAGCAAATCAATATACAAGAGAGATACCTACATACATGTTTGTTGCAGGTCTGTTCACAATAGCTAATCTGTGGAATCAGTGGAGGTGCCTTAATGGATAAAGAAAACAATATTTTCTTTATGGTGATGTGTGTGTGTGTGTACCATGGCATATTACTCAGCCATAAAGAAAAATGAAATTATGTCATTTTCAGGAAAATGGATGGAACTGAAGATCATCACATTGAATAAGTTGAGCTCAAAAAGCCAAACATCACGTTCTTGCTCATTGTAGAATCTAGACCTAGATGATGATTATGTTGATTATCACGATGCTAATGGGCTATGAATAGGAAATGGGTCATTCTGGGGATCAAAAAGAGGTGGGGGGAGGATGCTAAGGGGTGAAGAGGAATGAAATATATACATATACACACACACACACACACAAAATATGTATATATATGCACAAAAACAGCATAATGAAACTCATAAAACACTGAAAAGGGAGAGGAAGGAGAGGGAATGGGAATAAAATAGGAGGGTAAACTTGCTTATGGTACACTGTACACATATGTGGAATTATTAAAATGAACCCCCTCATATTATGAATGAATGTTAAGTCAAAAATATAATGCAACTATTTAAAAAAGATTTTTAAACCCCAAAGAATAAAGGATTACATGTGCATAGAGGCAAGTTAGCATCTCACAGAGAATGAACAAGCCCAATCTTTGCCCCAGATAGTTCTGCCAATTCTAATGAGCTAACTCATAGCTACAGTTACAGGCTTTTGGAGCACAGAAGATCAAATAGGAGTGGGGATGACTCAGGGCCACCTCTTACCACTTTGCAAACAGAGCCCCATGCTGTGCTATGGCCAGCAAATACCATCAGCACATGTACATGACTATCCTTTGATCATGACTGGTTCTTTGATATGGGGCAAGCTTTACTGGGTCAGTAGTATGGGTGTTTCTGCTTCATTGATGGTACAGGCTGACAGTGTGGGAGCAAGGAGCAACAGGACAGGTACCCTAGAGGTACTTGTCTACGGGACATGTACATAGATGTATATGTCATGGGACGGCCATGACATATCTCTGTTTTTCATGTGAAATATTTCCCAGGCTGAGTTCTCCCATGTCCTCAGAGCTGCTAAGGGGTTAGTAGGCCAAGTAAGCTGAGGTCAGAGGGCATTGCTATAGAGAGAAAGTGATCTACATCTGTTCCTTCCCCCATTGAAAGGAGTCTCAGGCATCAGCTCCTCTTTCCAGGGAGAGAGGAACAGAATAAACATGAATTCCAATGCCTCATAGATCCTTCCTGGGTAGAGTCTTAAAGATGCAGGGGGAGGAGCAGGAGATGGGGAAGGGCAGTGATGTGGTGTGTCCACGCAGCAGTAGGGAGAGGGACCCACAGACAACTCCACCCTGCTTTTTTAAAGTAAAAAGACAGACTCCACCTTCCTCTGCTGTTTCCTTCCTATTTCAACTTCTGCTCAAAGCAAGGTATAGAAGAATGGTTCCATTGCTGGGCTTGGCACTTTGGGGCTATATCCAGAGAAGGTGAGACCTCTCTGCCTCAGCCTTCCTTTGTCATTCACTTCATATGAAAGAGAAACATGTATGTGTTTGCAGAAGAAAACCCAGATGTTTGGGGACCATCTTCATTCCAGAGGAGCAGGGTGTGGTAGCTAGGCTTGGGCTGGTTACCAGATGGTAGGAGCACCAGGCCAATAGGATGCTGTTTGTAAGTGCTGCCCTTTGAGTGGCCTCAGTGAACAATTTTGTTCCATAGAAGCCGTCAGGTACCCCAAGTCAGAACCCAGCCCCAAGGAATGATGCTCTGTAACCAAATGGGTACCAAAGGATAAATGTGCTGTATTAACATGAATACTAATGACAAATGCACTGCAGTAGTAAGCACATCATAGATACATAGAATATCCTCTGTATAATCTGAACATAGATATAAAATAAGTTATATTTGTTTTGTTTTCCATCATAGTAGGTGTATAGCAGACAAAGTCACCAGATCAGTGACCACAAAGCAAGCCAGGGGAGAGACCAGGAAGGAGGGTATAGAGCACTGAGTATGGTGGGGATTTCTCCAAGGACCCCGCAGAGGCCCTGGGACCATATGGGGAACAAGACCCTAGCCCCAACCCTCACAAGTTAGCCTTCTGAGAATGAACACAAGGTTCTGCCTGATAACAGTGGGGGGATTCATTTGAGTTGGGTTGATTGAGGCTAACAGGTGGGAGGCTGAGAATAGATTGGCATGAACAGTATCCAGCAGGCCAGCTCACTCTCCCACTGCCATGGTTGGAGTTCTGTGATGTTAAGAACAAGGGGCGCAGAGCCAGAAGGCACGGTTCGCTTCTATGAGGTGACATATGGGCAAAATGATGGGCCCACCAAATGTTAGCTGGCCCTCCTCCCTTGCTTGCCTTCATGGGGAGGCTGCAAGGGGATCTGCATACTCAGCTTGTTCTTTGTGGTTTGTCACCGGGTAACAATGCTGGGATCCTGCACACATCATAGCAAAGGGACAAGCCTGCAGGTCTGAGGCCCTGGCTTTGAATCCATTCTCCATCAAGCATGACCTCTGTGAGTTTAGGAAGGTCACTTGTACTCTTCTGTGTCTCAGACTTCTTATCTGCATATTGGGGGTGGTTAATATACACCTGCCAGGGGCATTAGTGAGGACCACAGAACTAATGTACTTAACACAGTTCCTGGCCTACAGGAAGCTTTGGGTACACGTGAGTCAAGTACAAGCATCTGAACATCATAGGCCAGGAGGAAAGAACATGAACCTGAAAAAACACATGGAGGAAAATCACCTTGACTGTTTCCAGGAGAAGACCTCAGGGTGGCTTCCTTGCTCTTGCCTACCAAGTTTTTCTCTTCTCTCTCCCCTTTGAGATTCTTTGAAATGAAGAGCAGGCAGAGTCCAAAGCAAGGTTTGCTGAGGAAGACAGAGCCTTAGGTTTGGAAAGAACAGAGAACATGGCTAATGTCTCTTCAAGGCTGCGATGCAATACTCTGGAGGTGCTTCTCAGCTTGGCCCCCCTCCCTCACACTTCCAAGCCTCTTAGTAGATATTTCATTAGGAAGCCAAAGAGGGAAGAATAAAAGTACAGAAAATAAAGTGAATTGCCTGTTAAATAAAAAGCCTTTCCCATCTGCCCAGAGCCAGGGTGTAGAGGCACTGGGGGTCAGGTGCCATCAGTGGGTAGATATCCTGAGGTCTCAGGGGAGTAGAGATGGAGGAAAAGAGATGTGGAGACACAGGCTTGCACTCTGGGACCTGGGATTGCTGCTGTCCTTCGACCAATCTTGAGAACTCTGAGAGGTGTTCAAACAAGAATCAGCCTGGAAATGTGGGAATTACAGTCCCTTCTTATCGATAATGTACTTGTCAAGATATGTGTGTGTGTGTGCACACTGATGTGTGGTTACCCTGCCCATCTCCTCTAACACTGCCTGTCTGAAGCAGCCTTGTCCCTTGGTCACTCAGCCACTTTCCTCTTGGATGGAGGCAGGAGATGGGTGGGCAGCTCATTGGGTAGCTCATGCCCCTCCAGCTTGACCTTGATAAGGTGGTTGGCCAGGGCAAATTCCTCATCATCCAACATGCCATCCTTGTCAATGTCAGCTAGCTTCCAGATCTTGCCCAGCACACTATTGGGAAGCTTGGAACGTACCATCTCCTTCTTGGCATTAGCGCCTGTGATCTTGCCGTCCACCGGGGACAGGGTGTAGAAGATCTCATCATACATGGGCTTGTCTCGGGCTACCACCCACTCAGCATCATCAATGCCCTCCCCAGCTCCTTCCCCATAGCCATGCCCAAAGGGACCATGCAAGGTGCCCTCAAATGCTCCACCCTTCACCATCTGGACTGGCCGCTGGGTCTCCTCCTGGCGCACCAGCACCATGAGCTGGGCGATGTCGTGCGCCAGCATGTCATCCACCACCTCTAGCAGCTTGCTCTTGAGAGGCTGGAATTTGCTAAAGTCCTGGGCCTGCAGCTGGTCCTGGGAAGAGAGAGAAAAGAAGGTGGAACTCTTCCATTTGTTGGGAAGGGTGCCTCCTATTAATGTTGGAATGTTCACAGCTGGGCTCTTGTCCAGTGAAAGAAGTTTGACCTAGAGGCTAAGCTGATGTACATCACAAAATCAACAAAAATAAGGACAGGAAGCAGAAAAAGGCCCATTGGGCTGAGAATAGAGTTTTTCAGGAGAGAGTAGAACAGGTGTAGAGGCTGGAGAAGAAAGGAAACTGACAAATACTGGTTTGATATACTTACTTTCTAATGTTATTCTAGAGAGTAAATCATTAAATTTCTAAGCTAGTTTTGGCTGTTGAATAATGATTTGTGAAGGCTATGCCCCTCTAAGACTGAGTCCTGTAGGAAGGAAGTATAACCCTGCTAAAGAAGGGTTATACTGGAAAAATAATGTTTACTACTGGGTTATCTGGTTCACAGCCCCTCCTCCCCCGCCGTGACCTCTGGGTTAGGGAAATCATATCTACTCGCATTTAGTGACATAAAAATTAAAGCAACTAAAACCAAATCATAATAAAAGCCAAAGGTCAATTCCAAATCTGTGTCTTTTAATTAGGAAATTGCTCACTGGAATTTCCTAGAGAGAGTTTTCAAAAGATTGACACCCTCCCTCCTCCCAGTATGACATGCTGGGAATAGGTAGGCAGATTTTGTAAAAGCTGCTCCCCTTGCCTTTGAGTGGCTACCCACACACATCATAAAAGAAAGATGCTCCACTTCCCACACAATCTTGGAGATTTTGAAAAGTCCTGAGTCTAGAACGCCCAACTTCTCCTTGGCCTCTAGGAGAGTGATGGCGGAGAGCGGTCTGCTCCTGCCTGGGTCTGGCCACAGCAATCTCAGCATGCTGGGAAGAGGCCAACACACAAGGACAAGCACATCAAGTTCACTGCAGAAAATTCAGAAAACACCTACAGCTACATTTTGAGAGCAAGTGTTAGCTGGACACTTCTCATCTCCCTTCTAGGGCTGGGCTGGAGAGGCTGTGGGGGTGGGGGCTATGGAGGGAAGACCTGACCATGGCCTTTCTCTTTCCCTTAGACCATAACCTCACAGGCCCCTCCCACCTCTAATTCCTCCTGTCTCTCCCAGCCTGCTCACCTGTAGGTGGGCTCCCACACAGGAGTCTCAGCATTTCCAGAGATCCCCATCACACACGCCCATCCAGGACAGCAAGTTGACACTATTGATTTAGCACACCTAACTACAGATCAGAGCATTGGACAGGCAAACAAAGGAGGAAGTATAGCCATTTAAGTTACAAAAGGATTTCTCACACTAAAAAAGGGGTTTTAGGAACCTTTCAAATGTTACCTTCCCAAATGCTTGTTTATGGATCCATGAGTTCTCAACAGAAGGAGAAATAAAGAGCTGAGGTGTTCCCAGCCATGACAGTTGAGGAGCACAAATTACATTAAAGCAATCTGAAATGCGTGCCAAGCTCACGAATGAATGGTCCATGGGAAAATATACTTGGGATGTGTATTTTTTTCTTTTACCAGATAGGAAACTAAAAATGCCTATGTGGAACTCCAGAGATCTTCTGAAGATCCTAGTCAAACTGAGAAACTAGTTTCCAACTTGAAGATAAAAATGAGAGAAACAGCAACATCTATTGCTAATATTTCTGCAGCTATTATTTTTTTCTAATAAATTACCTAATTTGACTTTTTAAAATTTTCGAAATAATTATAGAATCTCAAGTTGGAAGACTTGTTCAGAGGATAGGTCCTTGTGCTTACCACCCAGCACCCCCCACCTAAGGATGCTAGTGTGCAGTAAAGGCTCCGTGCCGAGGGCCTCCCAGACAGTACTCACTGAGCTCCCAGCACCTGTGTACAAGGTATTTTTGCAGTCCCTATTTACAGATGACAAGGCAGAGGCTCAGCAAGGATCCACTTGTATGGCATGGTGACTTCTTGCTTGGACCTTGGGGAAACCTCCTGGCTTTTCTACTTGTAGCATATGTGAATGTTACACTGGAAGGGTGCTGAGGCCTAGGTGTCCCCTTCTGTAACAGGCAGGCGAAAATGCCTCCCTCTGAGTATTGCTTTTGGGGAAAATATGAGAAATCATGAATGATGGCCTCTGGCCCAAAATAAGGGCCTACAATGTGCTCCAAAGATGGCGAGCTCTCTGCTTGTCCAAGGTGTGCATCCCAAACTCCTCCTAGGGGGGAGATCAGGGGTGAACTTAAGCAATCAAGGGTCTTATTACCTGCATCCTCTTTAGGTTGGGAAAGTCCCCAGGTGAGATCTGGTGCTCCCGCTCAATCCGGCCATAAATATCAGCCAGGTTGTTCACCAGCTCCTTCTTCTTGTTGTCCTTCCCAAACACAGAGGGCATCTCCTTCTTGAGCGAGCTGATGATGTAGGCATGAACCTGACAAATGGGATCAGAGGGCGATCTCTGCATCAAGACTCTGATCTAGTTCCTCTTTTAGGATTGCTTTACCCTATTTTTCCAAAAGTCCCTCCCTTCCTCCTCCTGCTTCTGAAGTCATTTTCCCATACTCTTGCAGTGCTGGGGTGGGTGAAGTAAGAATGTGGGGAAGGAAGGCCAGACAGAAATGGGGATGGGGATACTGCTGCTGCCACTGCTGTCGCTACTAACAACAGCAGACTCTGCTGAGCAACTGAGGCACCGGGTGCTGTGATGGGGGCTTTGTTTTATCTGATGAGAATTTTGATGCTCCTTGTTCCACTTTGTCCTCCAGCCCTTGCATTTTACAGATGTGGAAAAAAACACAGGGAGACCAAAGTCCTGGCTGGGGCTTGGATCACTCAGATGGCAAACAGCTGAGTCAGGCTCCAGCCTGGCCATCTGACCCAGAGGCTGCCACCTCAGTCACCACACTGTCCTACCCTAGGGACTGAGCTGGCATTGCTCCTGATGCAGAGGCTCTAGGGCACTCACTGGGGCAGGCAGCAGCACAGTTGTTGGAGCAGCATCCCTCTTGGTAGCCCTGCCTCCCTGACATCTCCCCAAGGGCAGCCTCACCTTGGCCAGCCTGGCTCTCTTAATGAGGTCATTGAGTTTGCGGAGGGCCGCATTTCTGGGTAGACTCTGGATGTCCCTGAACAGGTCCTGCTCCTCAGCCTCAAAGAGCTTCCGGTTGTCGGGGATGAGCAGGGGGTGGGACCAAAAGGAGCCGATGTAGACGCGGATCACCTCCGGGGTGTTCACGATCTTCCCCAGAGACCACATGAGCGCCCCATATACCCGCATCAGCTGCTGCGTCTCGATCTGGTCGGCCTTGTTCAGCACCACTCGCATCTTGTCCTCATGGTTCTTCAGAGCCTTGATGACTTCCGAAAACTCATCGGAGATGTCCAGCTTGTGGGCATCGAACAGCAGGATGATGCGGTCCACCCGCTCAGCGAACCACTCGAGGACAGCTGCAAAGTCATATCCTGCCGGCAGAGGAACAGTCAGCGGAGGGGCCTTTGGGGTTATTGGGCTGGGGAGAGGAGGAGTCAAATGCAAAAGAAGCATTTTTTTTCCAGTACTGGGAATGGAACCCAGGGTCTCCTGCATGCAAGTTAAGTACTATACCAATGAGCTGCATCTCCAGCTCCCCTTAGTATTTTTTCATCTAAAAAACCAGATGCAATTAATAGACTCTGGATGTCCCTGAACAGGTCCTGCTCCTCAGCCTCAAAGAGCTTCCGGTTGTTGGGGATGAGCAGGGGTGGGACCAAAAGGAGCCGATGTAGACGCAAGTTAATACTTACTTGTCATATGCAATTAATAGAAAGACTAGAGTTAAATACTGAGCACTTAGTAGATGCTCAGTAAATGCTGGATATTATTATAAACATATAGCACAGACACTATCCAGCTTTCTTACTCTTTTTATTGAGGTTAGAAACCAGAGGCTGGAAAAGAAACACAAATTCCATAAAGAATCAGAAATTCTTTACAAGGCCCACAAGCAGTAGAACAGAAAATGTAAATTACTGATGACAGCTCAAACCACGCCCACCCCATCGGGAAGAAATCTGAATTCTTGCTATAAATGCACAGTTTCCTTCCTTCCTTCCTTCCTTCCTTCCTTCCTTCCTTCCTTCCTCCCTTCCTCCCTTCCTCCCTTCCTCCCTTCCTCCCTTCCTCCCTCCCTCCCTGCCTCCCTCCCGCAGCCCAGAATTCCCAACTCTTAATCCACAAGTAGGTTCTTCTTTAGGACATGACTGGACCTCTGGTGACCACACCTTGGTTATCTAGCAGTGAGCTGCTTCAAGTCCGGCTAGCTCCAGGAGTCCCAGAGCACTTGCTCTGCTCAACACTGAGAAGCTACAGATCTGGGAGATGTTGGAGGGAGGTATCCCAACAGTGTGTTGGTTTACCAACGCTCAGAGCTGGAGAGGCCTTATCTCTCTGTGCCTCTGTATCCTCTTCCACAAAACGGAAGGACACTACATGAGGAAGGGAAACTCAGAGAGGCCCTTGCTCAAGGGCCCACAGTCCTCCATGAGAATGGAGGTGTCAGGCTTTCTCAGTCTGAGTCTGAGCAGGGCACCTAGGCTTCCTTTTGCTGTTTCTCCATGGCACACCTCTAGCACCAAAGCAAAATCCCTTCTTTGGCTCTGGCATGACCAAAAACCTTGGCTTCCAATAGCACAAAGCTTCCAAAGGATATACCCTGGGAACCCAAAACTAATTGCCACTATTGAGTGGGAAACCAAGCCATTAAGAAAAAGCCACTAGTTCCTGCCCTGCCTCAGAGAGCCAGGCAGAGACCAAGCAAGGTCATTTGGCAACTGCCTTGTGATTGACTCAGACTTAGGAAGCTCTGACTCTGTAATGGAGTCCTCAACTGCCGGGCTTGTTAAAACTCAGGTGGCTGGAGCCCGTCCCCAATTTTGTGATCCAGGAAGTGTAGATGGGAATTGCTAACAAGCTCCCAGGGGATGCTGCTGGTGGTCCACGGACCACACTTTGAGAACTGCTAGCCTCCAACAGTAATAATGGCAAGTGCTTAGCATTAATATCATTCACTAGGCATCCAGCATTGTTTTAAGTACTTTATAATCACTAACTCTTTAATCCTCACAGTAAGTTGAGTAGGACGCAGGAGGAGGGAAAGCAACTTGTCCAAGGTCACCCAGCTGGTAGCCTAGCTTTTGAAGGCTCCCATTTCAGATTAAGCCACAAGCTTAGGTGGGGAGGTATGATGAGGACAGATGGGGTGGACCAGAGGAGCTGGGTTGTAAAGGCATTTTCTCTCTGTGGCATCTTCTGAACAGTCAGGGATATATTAAGGGTTGTCAGAGCAACATCTCAGAGGTGGTAGATGGGACTAGCATGGGCAGGACAGCCTGCTGCCACAAAGCTTCCTAGGGGATCCCTTTAATGCTTCCCAGTGTAATAAAAGAACCCTAACCAACAAAGAAACAAAACAACCCTCCCTTCCTACCATGCTGTCTTCCATTCCCAAGCCTCTGATGGATGAAGGGCATTTAGACACCAGCATCCCCAGCTGACTTTCTCCATGCTCTGTTGGCGGCTCATTAACCCAGGCCTTTTCTTTCCCTGCTCTTGTTGCGGCAACCCCTGAGGCCAGGGGAGCTTAGAGAGCAATAGTCCAATTCCCTCATTTAAAAATAGAGGCAGCGAGGCTCAGAGAGGGGCAGAGCAGGCCCAGAATGATCCAAGTACCTCCCCTGCCCCCAGGAAGGTTCCTACTTGGTGCAAACTGAGGCCTGGTGTAAATTAGCATTACATTCCTCACTCAAGGCCGGCTGCTTAAGCTGAAGGCAAGACTCCAGGAAGTGCTTCAAGGGCCAGCTCTGCCTATAACAAGGTGGGGGCATTATGGGTCCTACCTCATAGATGGTCACAGAAGTTCTGAGAGGCTCACTGACTCAGCCAAGACTACCCTGCCCTGGGACATGATCCCTAGCTCTCCAACTCCAAGTTCAACACTAGATCCACCTGGCTAGTGCTGCCATGACCTCATTTCACACCTGCCATACCCTCAGAGGTAGGCACTAGGAGAGGACAGAGCTGAGGTTCCTAGAGGAGGGCATTAAACAGTTGAAACTACATAGGAGTCTAGAGTTCCCCCTGCCTAGTGCCATGAAGTAGTCTTTCTGCACCTGCCGCCCCTCCCTCCCAGGAAACAGGCCCAGCCAGCTCCTCACAGAGACTGCCTGCTTCACTCTCCTCCCCCCTCTAAGGATGGCTCCAACCAACTCCGTCTTCCCTTTGGCCCAGCCCACAGCAGGACTGCTCACCTCCCCAAAGTGCTGTGGCTGGAAAGGGAGTCAGAGGGCCCAGAAAATCAGGACAATCTCGTCATCGTGCCCCACACCCACCCCTGAAAACAGGTCACAGCTTCACTGCTCTGTTGTCTGGAACCAGCAAACTTTGCTCAGCCGGCAGAAGGGCAGCAGGGGTCAAGGGCCTCTGCATTCTGCTGACACCCCTCCCTGCCACTGGATTATAATGGTTCTGCGCAGGCCACAGGGAGGGGCTGCTGGGAAGAGCAGGCTGCCTTCCTCCTGCCCATCCAACAAATTGCACCCCACATCACTGGCTGGCGCACACCCTGTCTCAGCTTTTCACAGCCGGCCAGGGCAGCCAAACTGGCAGGTAAGTAGAGGTTACAGAGGGTAGGAGGCAGGCCCAAGGCCACACAGCAGTGGGAAGAAGAAGCCTCACAACTGCTGTTTGGCCCTGTTCATTCTGGGCATTTGCTGAACAGAACAGAAACGAGAGTCCTATTCTACATGTTACATCTGGGAAACAGGGAATGAGTGAGTCATCTCTAGGCTTTGATTTTCTGGTCTCTAAATTAGAACCCACAGTGCCTTCCTTGGCCATGATGAAGATCAAATCGAAGAAGAGGATGCTGGTAAAACTGCTTAGTTGTGACCTTGGTCGTTTTCATTGCTCTGCCCCCTTTATAAAGTGTTCCTTCTCAACACCAATTTCCACGAATTGGGGCTCACTGCCTGGGTGAGACCCTTCCTTTGTCCCCCACCCACCCACACTCCAGAGTCCACTCAGGCATTAGCTTGTGTGTCCTTGGGCAAGCAGCCTCCCCTCTCTGAGCCTTGGTTTCTTTGCCAACCAGAGCACTGGGCTGGATCTCTGAGCTTCCTTTCTTGGTCTCCTGGGACTGGAGAGTGCAGCAGGATAGATGGAGATTAGACACAGGATGCCTTTGCAGGCCAGGTGAGGAAAGAAGGCCTGAGACTGCTGTCTTAGGTGCCTCAGGCACGCCTGTGTAAAGCTTGCTCCTGTCTACAGACAGACAAGTGGCTTCCAAGAGCCCTTCCTATGATTTTCTAAGCCTCCTATTCATCCTGCTGCTTTTGCAAATGTTGCAAGTTCTGGTTAGCTGCTATTAAATAATGAGCAGTAATGCCAGGAGCCAGCTCCCTGGTGTGGCTGGGAAGATCATGAGAATAAAACAATTCTGTGGGTTCCTCTGAAGCTCGCCCTCCCTGCTCCTAACTAAGCCAGAGCCTATGCAGTCTCTAGGATGGACATTTAGTTGCTTCTGTGGCCTGGACTTGTGTGCATGCCCAGGGATGGAGGCATCAGCAAAGCACAGGTAAGGAAAAGGGCATAGGATTAACTCTGTGTGGCCTTGTGCAAATCTGAGCCTCAACTTTCTCAGCTATAAAATGGAGATAATAATGCTAGCTGAATGAGGGGTCCTTGGTGGAGCCATGGAAATAAGATCTGACAGTGGAGGAAGAGAGGATTCAGTGTGGAGACTACTTGCCCCCTTCCCCAACTTGGTCCCAGGAATGGCTCTGAGACCTGCACCAGCTGCTGAGTACCTGCAGCAGCCCTAGGTTCCTGAATCGTGGACCAATGGGAGGGGAGACTGAGCCCAGAAACTGCCCTTCCTGGAATCCCTCTCAGCATGACTGCTGGCTCCAAGGGATCTGGTGGGTCGGCTCCCGGTCGGAGACTGGGCAGCCTGCAGGGATCTGTGGCACCCATCCCTGGCTCCAGAGAGCTAGGAAGAAAGTGTTTCTAAGCAATGCCAAGCAGGAGGAAATCAATGAGACAAACTCAATAAGCAAGGCCACTCCTTAATCACCCAGTGGCTTCCTGATGAGGATGCAGCACAAAGGACCTCATTTCATCCTCATGACTCTCCATACCCCAGGAGCTGAGCAGGGCACACATCTTGCAGGGGAATAAGTGGGGATACAGAGACATTAAGGGGCTAGCTCAGGCTCACACAGTCAGGTGGTGGTAAACTTAGGCCTAGAACCTAGATCCATATTCTCTTCTTGGCTTACAGCCCTGTGTGAGCCTTGGGCTCAAAGAACTGAGTCCTCAAACCAAGCATTTACTTGTCCCATCCCTCCTCAAAAAGCTCTGCCAAGATTTGGTGATAATTTAGTAAAAAAAAAAAAGATACTTTAGAAAAAGAAAATGACAAAGTCATCCATCTCCAGAATGTGTTAAGAATTCAGCTGACAACAGGGAACAAATGCTACATTGGATGCTTCAGGAAGCAACCACAAGGAATGGCCTGAACAGACTTGTCACCAGCCTCCAGACAACCACAAAGTTCTTCAGAAGGATGTCAGGGCTCAGCTGCTCTGTCCAAGCTTGTGAGTGCCCATATGGATGTGTACTTACTAGCATGTAGTATGGGTGACCCTGGGAACCTCCAAGTGCCAGTCTAGCTTCAGTGAAGGTGCTAGGGGCACACTGAGGATGTAAAGCTGCAAGAATCAGGACAGCACCCTCCCCCAAGGTTGGAACTTGAAAGCCCCAGAGGAAATATTCCTACCCCCTGCATTCTTCTCAAGCAGGTGATGATGTGCTGAAAAGCTGCTGGTCAGAGAACTGGGAGACCAGGGTTGCCACTCCAGTGTGACCTAGGCATGTTTGTCACCTGCTGTGGGGCTGCTGAACACCTGTACAGAAAGGGGCCGCTGGGAGGGGCTTTCAGATGTACAGTTTGGGGTGCCAGCACAAAGTCCCCTGACAGCTAGGGAGGGACTTGTGGGAATTTCTAGCTGAGTCAGGAAGTGTGCTTCCCAAATGAGAGGACTCGTGGCCTTCCAGAGCCTCCCACTTCTCTGCATCCTTGCTTCTTCCCAGTACTGAGTCTGGCCTGGCACATCCTGCCACTTCCAGGAACTGCCTCCCTGCCTGTCTCTCCTGCCCACCCTAATGCATACTCATCCAGAGACAAGTGCTGACCTCAGGCCTCCTAGATCTGACTTCCCCATGCCCCTGGCTTCCCTGTACAAGACATGCACACCACCAGGCCCCAGCAGCAGGCCACCTTGAGCAAGAAGCTTACTTTGCTGGGCTTGAATGCTTTTCTCCATGAAGCTTGAGGCCCTGGAAGCCCTTGGAAGCACTTCAGTTTGCAGAATGGGCAGTCTAGTCTGGCTGCTTGATGCCTCTGTGTTGACTCCGTACCGAGGCCTCCTCTCATGAGACACAAGTCTGTCCCAGTCCCAAGGCTCAGAAAGTGGAATGTGGGCTGTTTCAGGCCCTACACAGCCCTTGGCCAGTGCCGTCTGCAGGACCAGCCTGCCCTGGGCTCATGAGAGGAAGGGAAGAAGGGCCAAATCTATTCCATGGCCAAACATGGAGGTGCAAGAGGCCTAGGCGAGAGGTCATGACAAAGCAAGTTCAGATCTGTTCAGTGCTCATGTATGTGGGGAGGTCGGGGAGGGGTGTACATATGAGTGGGACAGTGGGGAGGGGGCATATATATGGGATTGTGTGATTTAGGGGAGGTTTATGTGCATAGATTTAAACTGCAACTCTGGATCTGTGGCTGTGTGAGGAAGGATCTGGGCAGTGTTCCTTATTTGGGGTCCCCTTGATGGCTAAGATGTCTGATGTTCTCCCACCAACTATCCTGGTCTCCTCAGGGTGCCAAGGACAGTACTGCCCCAGGATGGCAATGCAGCAGCCCAGCCCACAGCGCCTGTTTGTATCACAGTCTGTTCTGCCAGAAGCTGCATCACAGTCTGGACTCAGGAGGGCAGAGAACACATTGGCTTGCATAGCCATGTATAAGGCTATTGGTTTGCCCAGAGGTACCAGAGGTAGGCAGGGCCTGGTGCTGCTTAGTTGGTGCAGAGCAGAAGGAGTCAGGAAGTGCAGATAAGAACACCAGTACCCAGCATATATATGGCAGCCACAGAGGACCAAAGACAAAGGCAAGAGAGAAGATAGAAGACTAGGAAAAGAATGGGATGGAATAGGAGCTAAAGAAGGTCGGAGTCCTTGGGAACAGGACTGCCATAAACAACAACACAGGTTGAGGCTTGCACAACTGAAGAGAGACCATATGCATGGGTTACCCTAGAGTTGTATAGTACGCAGCTCTGGATGGCAGATAAGGAAGGAAGAAGGGAGTTCACCATGATCCAGCTGAAGTCTGTGTTTGTATAATGGTTCTGTAGACCTCACCCGAAGGCTATGTGACACATTACCCCTTGTTACACATGGGAACACTGAAACTCAGGTAGAAAATATTGACCTGTTGTGATCCACAGAAGTTCTAAAGCCCAGAACTCTGAACCCCCAATGCCCTTGGAAACCCCCAAGGTTGGAGTGTCCTCTCCAGACTCACTTGTCAGACTGCACTGCCTGGCAGATACACACATCCCAGCTTGAGAAGTGCTGGTTCTCCCAGTCTTCCCTGAGGAAACTCAGGCTGCCCTAGAGACCCTAAATCCCCTGAGGCCTAACTCAAGATTGGCCCAGATGAGCCACTTGGGATAGGGGTGGTGGTGGTGAGGTTTAGGGAAAGGAATAGCAGCAAGATGGAGGGCCTGAAGCAATCTTCCACAGGCCCTGAGAAGGGAGCCAGGTGCTCATTATGGGCACACAGGCAGGATGGGGCCAGGGTGAAACAGTCCTCTCCCTAGGGCCAGGGCTCGACAGACTGGCTCCTCCTCACCTCTACCACAGTCCAGAATTAGGGCAGTGGGGTACCTAGGCTTCCCAAGCCCCTCACAATGTCCTAGGGTTCACAGGCTGCCAATTACAGGAACTGTGAACACAGTTTTCCAAGTTCCCTCCTGACTCAGCTGCTTCCTTCCGTTCTGCTTCCCAGGTTTCACCTCCTGTGGCAGGAGGGAATTTCCTGCTCAGGATTCCCAGCACCCCCATCTGCTCCAGGAAGTGTCTTCCCTGAAGGATGGCCTGGGATTTACCAGGTCTTGAGCAGGCCATTACCTGGAGGGCCTCCCTGCTGTCTTTCTACAATCCCCCTGCTCTCACATAGCTAGGAAGATCCCCAAAAAGTGGACTATGAACCTGCTGCCCCATACTCACCCTGGTTGGAAGAGAGCTGCTGTCTTCAGGAAGCTAAGACAGCCTGCAGAAGTGCTAGGAAGAAGCCCAGTTCTGGCATCAGAGGCTTCACCTGGGCCAAGGGCCTGCACTACTGGATCTCAAAGATTCACAGCCATGGGAGCACTTGCCTGTCACCCACAACTTTCCTCTCAGGGCCTGAGAGTGAGTGAGTGCTGGCCTGGGCAGGCCATGCTCCTGGGGGAAGGGGTTCCTGGGCCCCCTCTATAGTGGCACAGGCATGGGTAGGACAGACCTCTGTCCCAGATGAAGTCACAGAGCACAGCGGGCTGAGGCAGTGCCATAAGGAAACAGATGTCACCTGAGGTCAACTCAGGAAAGAGTCCAGGCCACTTCCCAGAGAAAGTTGCCAGTCCAAAGCTGTCCCTTTCTGAAGGATGATTTCTGAGTGCTGATTTGGCTCCAGTCCCAGGTCAAGTATTGGGGTGGGTGTGGTTCATCTGATTTTCTTGTCAGAGATATAATTCATGGCACAAAAAAGATAGGGGCTGCCGAGAGCACACAGTGAGTGTGGCAGGGGAGGCTTGGTGAGGGTAGCCCAGAGCAAATGTTTTAGCTTTTTATAGCATCAGCCTAGTATTTTAAAACTAGGGAAAAAATGGATGGTGATGATGATGATGGTGATGATGGTGGCAATGACCTATAATACTCATGTTCAGTGGATGTTTCCTATGTGCCAAATGGAAGACATTTATACCCATTTAATCCCCAGATACCCCTACAAGATGGATTGCAACCAAAGTAAAGATAAATACTTGCCCAGGGTCGTTGTGCTAAGAGAGGGCAGAGACAGGCACAGAACCTGCCAGTCAGCTCCAAAGTTCTGTCTCCTACACACCAGGCTGGTGGCCTCCTTTAATGAGCAATTACCCTGAATTTGTCTGGAGTGAACAGTTTTCAAAGTGCTTTCAGATGCCTGGTTCCCTCATCTTATGACCCAAGCATGCTGTCGTGTTCTGCCAGAGCACTGGTGCCCGCCAGCTGAACAAAGTTCTCTTTATGAATTTGCCTCTTCTGCAGGACCAGGCAGGGATGGCAGGAACTTGAGAAGAAGCAAGGCTATGGGCCTTTTGGAGGATCAGAAAATTCCACGAGTAAGGCAAACCTCAATGTCCCATTTTACACATGACAAGACTGAAGCTGGCTGTCTCCTAACCTCCATGGGACCTATATTCATCTACTGGTCCCAGCTTAGGACCATCCCCCATAAAATGGCCTCACAAAGCCGTCACAGCTGTTTCACCAAGAGACAGCAAGGCCTAAGTATATCTCTTCTCACATGGAAGAGAGAGAGAACCACAACAGAAGGTATCAGAACATACCAGGGAGCCCGAAGCCAACATCCACCAGGTATTTCCTTACCTCGGCTGATCCTCTGCTTCTCCCCAGAGAGGATCCCTGGTGTGTCAATGACACTGATGCTTTCCAGCACAGCGTTGGGCAGTTGGGCACACACGAACCTGCATGGCGAGGAAGGTCATGGTGAGCCACTTGTGCACTTTCCCTGGCTCAGCCACACGACTCCATTCACAAGTCTTTCTCATGTCTGTCTCTCTGTAGCTCTAGGCTGGAGGGTCCCAGGCCACCCAGTGTGGGCCTACTTAGTATGGGATGTGTCTGACAGCAGATCTGGGTACTGAGCCCCAGTTCTCTTGTCACTCACCAGGGTGACAAGGTGTTTGGTAAAATTCTGTTGGGCCAATAGGGCTACTCTGTAGAGACAGCCCATCCCCACGTGACCAAAGCTCTGGATTGATTCTCATTGCCCCAAGTCCTTAAGTTGGACTTGGTCAGTTACTTCCTGTCCTCAGTGACTTTACTTAGCTTGGCTCACTCTCAGACTCTTACTTAGATGGCAGATCAGAAAAGACTCCTCTGCCCACTGCATAAAACTCCCTGAGGATGGGAGCAGGAGGAACATGGAGGTCTGCAGAAGAGTCAGGCTGTGGGGATCCCCTTCTGATTTGATCTTCAGTGGCAGTCACTGCACTTCCTACATTTGTCCCCATCTATAAACTCTATTCAGTGCAAGGTATACGTGGGTGTTACCCAGTAGAGGATTCCAAGCCCACTGGCACCACACCAGACTGAGAGCAGCAGCAGTGAGCCAGGAGCTCTACACTTTCAGGAACTTCCTGGGTGATTCTGAGGCAGCCACAGCCTATTCTTGTGAACCCCTGCTCACACTGACATGTCCTGATTTCCGTCCCTGTCCCCAAGAAGCACAGCCTGTTGGAGGTGAGGAGGCTTATTCATAGGTAAGCATAATCCAGGATGCAATGGGGCTAGCACCCCAAAGTTTGTGAAGCATTTGGAAGAATCAAGGCAAAGAGAGGGCTTTCAAGGGAGGGTTTCCTAGAGGAGGCAGCAGTGGGACTGGCCTTGAAGGATGGGTTACAGAACTTAGGAATGTTTATTTAGGCATCTGAAGGGCTATCTAATGGCCAGTCATCACTCTGGGATAGCAGTCAAGCCTTATCCAGGTGGAGCAGGCAAGTGGGAGCTGACAGGGATGTGGAAGAAGACTGCACAAGAAAGGGGAGCCAGGAATCTAAGGCATGGGACCCTATGCAGGCTGCCGTGAAGCCAGAGGCAGACAGACTCCCCCATTCCCTATTGTCCTCCCCATGCCATGCCTGGCAGATCCCCCAGTCAGCCTGATCAGCTACCATCTCAGTGATGAGCGCTACTGGAGAAAGTCACAGAGCTTGGGATGCCACCTGTCCTTAGGTCATAGGGTTCTATAGTGAGCCCCATTCTTTCACTCCTCCCTATGTGTCTCCTTTTCCTCTCTCTTCAGTTTTTTCTGCCTGGAATGTCTTTTATACCCTTCCAGGGTCATTTCACCCATCATTTAATGCCTGTGTCAAATGCCAACTTTTCTGCAAGGCTTCTCACCTCTGCTATCCCCTTGCCTATGTGATGGACTTACTGCTTCATGCCTGTGTCCACTGACCTGGACTCAGCCTCATTTTCCCCAGTAAAGCTAACCCGCACTGCTGTAGTGGGGCCTACTGTTTGCTGAAAGAAAACATGAATTCCATCCCCTAGCAAGGTGCCTGGAGGGGAAGACAGGGGACAGCCCTTCCTCCTGCCACCTTGCTCTTCTTCTCCCAGTCTGTCTCTCTAGGCCAGTACACACAGGTCCCTGTGGCCATGCAGGGTCTCTGTGAGTCCCCTTCATCAGGCTAGACACTTTAATCAGCAAAATCACAGATATAAAGAGAGAATCCAGACCCCTTAGCACTATCGCCTTGTGTGTGTACATTATTCTTTTCATAATACTTTCACACATATTCTCTTTCTAAATTATTTTTAATAGTATTTTAAATTAAATGTTAATGGGGGAAAAAGCAGTTCAGCAAGGCAGAAAATGAAATATAAAGGTCTTCCTGCCTTCCCCTTTTCCCCCTCAATTCCATTTCTAAAAATGTGGCCACTCTAAACATTCTCTCTCTTTCTCTCTCTCTCTGCCTCTCTCTCTCTCTCTCTCTCTCTCTCTCTCTCTCTCTCTCTCTCTCTCAGATCTTCCATACAAGATATTTGCTGGAAGACATTGGGGCATAGAAAACTTGCAATTTGCAGTCCATCATTTTATAGATGTAGACAATAATATTGAAAAAGGTTAATTGTCTTTACCCAGGATAAACCACTCCTATCCACCTCACACACATCTTCTCATTTCAAAATGTCCTACCACAAAGAGATGAAGCCCTGCTGGGTTTGGTTAATGACAGAAAGCCTCCCTGGTCTCAAGAATGCACCTGGTATGATGGCAATTACCTATATTCTGTTGTTATAACAGACTATCTGCTGATACATGTAACCCAATATACCATCATCACTGCAAGCACATTTATGCCACTATTTGCAATCCTCTCCTCTAGTGATGCCACACTACCTTTTGCATCCCCTAGGCTTTTCTCTCCTCTCACCTGGGCTTCACCTCTAACTCAGAGGGATGATCACCTTAGCTGATTCACAGTCACCTGGTGCAAATTCTTCATGTCTAACGTCAAATTCGTCACCCCCTCCCCAGAGGCCCTTGCCTCTGTCTACCCTCCTGACTCATTCTGCTCCAGCAGGATTGCCCAGCCCTGGCCCAATTCTCTGTTTCAGCATCCTGGGTCAGGATTTCCTCACTCAGCTCCAGTATTAGAGACACTCCTGGACTCCAGGACCCCTGTCCCCCACCCCCCTCTGCTCGTTAACACTACCACCACCTCAATCTGCTTATGCTAATTCAGCTTCCTCCCTGACAGAAGCCAAGCCAATCCCCTGAGACCCCTCCCTGCCCAGTCCACTCTCCAGTGGTGATTTCTCAACATCACCCTTCCTTGAATCCCTGCTTTGGGAACACACCCTGCTGTCCGCAGTTCCACACTCTTCACATGGTCCTCTGCCCAAACCTGCCTCGGTGTTACTCACTACATGTCACTACTAGAAAGACCAGAAATAAGTGTCTAGCTTTAGAAAAAAACATTAGGACAAGAGAGGTTGAGAATCCTTTGGGTAATGAGCTTAAACTTCTACAACTGAAAAATGGCAACACTGGACAGCCATCCCTCACTGAATAATTAGGGAAACAAATAAACAAGTACATGATAATAATATTACCATAACCCCACACTTTCTGTTGGTCACTGTGTGCTGGACACTAGCGCTTTCTGTTCAGTATTTCACTTACCCCTCCTTTAGCTCCTGAGAAGGAGATATTCTGTTATCCTACTTAACAGATGGGAAAAGTTAGATACAGGAAGTATGGTAATGTGTCTAGGATCCATGGTAGAAGGTGGTATTTGAATTCAGGTGTATGGAAGTCAAAGCTTATACTCTTTATATTTACTGCTCCTCCAATTTGAAAAACTCAATTTAAAATTATTAATGCACATATAAAAATTGGACTAATAAATATGGCTAGTGTGATCAGGGGATCAGTCTGCATTTTAGTTATGCAGAATGATTACCTTTCCATGCACTCGAACTTCCTCTGCTCAGATCCTCATGATGACCTTGGTATCTGCAGGCCTGAACTTGCCCCAGGGGAAGGGATGTGGTCTGCCCAAGGTCACACAGGGAGTTTAGTAGGAGAGTCAGTGCTCAAACTCAAAGCTTCCCCTTAAGTCCAATTCATTCAACCAAGTAAGAACCATATACAAGAATAGCAAAGAACCCTCTTCCACTCACTGTGGGTGCAAACCCCAATCATGGCATAGGCAAATGTTGGGAAATGTACAGCATCCTCTCCACTATTATTGGAGGTAGGAACAGTTGGGGCAAATAAGTCATTGTCATGCCCTCTTTTGCTCCTAGATCAGGAGAAATCAGCCCAGGATTCACAACTTCCACATCCCACTGTGGATACTGACTCAGTCACATTTCCGACAAGCTAGGAACAATCAAGAGACTTTGATATGGAAATGGCCCAAAAACTCCTGAGACTGTGCCCGTTTTTCCATGTCCAGTACTCCAAGAAGAAGCATCCGAGAAGCACTGGTGTGCATTCCCTTCCACACTCACCTGTTCAAGAAGGCGTTGCCAAAGGCATTGAGTTTCCTGAAGGGTTTCTTGGGATCCACCACCAGCGCATTCCCAGGGATGATCCCCTCCACGTCCCCTTGCATCACCGCAATAAAGGAGTCAGTGGTTGGCTCAGGCCCAATTCTCATGCCTGGGAAATCCTGTTCCAGCAGGTACCTGGCAAAAAACCCACAGATGTCATGAAGGGACTCTGCTTGTTCATCACCACTGTGTGACCCCTGCTGTGGGCAATAGGAGAGGGACAGATTGGAGCAAGACTGCACCACTTCCAAGAACTCTGCAGTTCAACTTCAAACACCATCTGTTCTTCTTGGTCCTTTTTCACTTTCTGAGCCAGAAAAGGGGGTAGGGCTCAGAAATAAAGTCCACATTGAAACTACACAGAGTTTTGAGGACTTCGAAGCTGGGGGTAACTGGTTGAGATCCCTGCTCAAAGGCATAAAGTGAGACTATCCATAGAGTGTTGGCTTTTCATAGGTCACTATTTATGTGCGTGGTTAATTATTAAATATAAAAACAGCTCGTATCTAATATAAAGTAAAAACAATGTGAAGGATAAATGATGAAAAGTGAATCTCCAACCTAGCCTAGACTTTTGGTCCCACTCTCTGATATCTATTCTATGCATCCTGCATCTTTCTAGAAATGCTCCATGTACAAGTGTGCTATGTATATGTGCTCACAGGTACTCACACAGGGACGACTGAATTTTTAGGCATAGAGGCAGACCACATGCTTTTCCTTCTTTTCTGTCATTATCAATTTGATTCAAACCTTCAAGGATGAGACTCTATTCAAAATGCCTTTACAGTACCTGGCACAAGACAGGTTTTTTCCCTTTTGTTCTTGGGTGTCAGGCAGTTTTGTTACCAATATTATAGTATATGTGATTCTTGGATGGAGGTTATAACTGTCCTAGTTTTTTTTAATGTTCTTTTTTTACCTGCTCTTCCTAGAGAGGTCCAATTTTCTTTTATAGACTGATGCTCTTCTACTGCACCCAACACCTGCTTGTGCACACACATGCACACACACACCCTGCTCCCAACAGGTATGCACTTGCTAGGTAGACACTCCACCACTTGAACCACATATCCAGCCCCTTTTTGCTTTAGTTATTCTTGAGCTTTTTGCACAGGTGGGCCTGGGACCTGGATCCTCCTACCATTGTCTCCTGCATAGTTGCAATTATATACACAAACCACCATGCCCAGATTGTTTGTTGAGATATTATCTCACTAACTTTTTATGCAAGCTAGCCTCATGCCACGATCCTCTCAACCTTCCTCTGAGTAGCTAGAATTACAGGTATGGGGACCACAGTTGGCCCACTCTATGGGCAATTTATAGGCCCTTTTTAGTGAAAATTTTACTGATAGCTTTTAACACCTTCTATTGGCTAGATGTAAGAAAAATGGTGGTAGGGGAATTTACATATTATCTCAACCAGAGAGGTAAAAAAGTGGAAGAATGTCAGCTTATTTTTATGGTATGGCTATTTACCATGTCCTCTTTCTGCACTTCAGAGTGGGCCAGGACATAGGAGGTCCAGGAACTGGTCCTTGCATTCATCCTGGGGCCTTAAACGCAGACCCCTCTTCCGGTCCCTGGGCTCCATCTTTGTTTCATTAGGAGGCTTGCTAATGTGATCTCAAGGGCTCCTTCTGCTCCCTGGGCCACTGCATGAGGGATGTATTTCTGAATGGTGCCATCTGCAGCCACTTAGCTTTACATGGCTCCTGGTTACCCACTGGCACTCTGGAGGAAGCACGAGGATGGAGAACTACCTACCCCTGAACTTCTGACTAGCCTGAGGTGGCAAGTACCTCTCTGCTTTTCTCCAGACCTGGGTAGTGAGAGCCCAAGGCCATCTGCCCATCTCTACACCCCCCTGGAGGCCAAGAGCAATGGCAAATGAGCCAGGGAACAGCCGCTAAGGACCATAGGAGCTCAGCACAGCTTTGAACACAGAGAGCAGGAGCCTGAACTAAAGACAGGAGCCTGAAGGAAGAAGCCTGGATGTGCCTTGGGACTGGCCAGAGAGGCATCCCAGGAGCATCTTCCAAGGTCCCAATAGAGTTAAGAGACGTTGCTCAAGAAACATAGACCCTTCAGTTTAGAGAAAATTTCTTTTGATGAACAGAAGCTTTTTAGTTTTATGAGGTCCCATTTATCTATGCTATCTCTTAGTTGCTGTGCTGCTGGGGTTTCGTTGAGAAAGTTCTTACCTATACCTAATAACTCCAGAGTAGTTCCTACTCTTTCCTGTATCAACTTTAGAGTTTGTGGTCTGATATTAAGATCTTTGATCCATTTTGAGTTAATATTGGTATAGGGTGATATACATGGATCTAGTTTCAGTTTTTTGCAGACTGCTAACCAGTTTTCCCAGCAGTTTTTGTTGAAGAGGCTGCTATTTCTCCATCTTATATTTTTAGCTCCTTTGTCAAAGACAAGTTGGTTATAGTTGTGTGGCTTCATATCTGGGTCTCTAAACTGAAGAGAACACCCACAGAGTGGGAGAAAATATTGGCCAGCTACACATCAGACAAAGGACTGATAACCAGAATATATAGGGAACTTAAAAAACTAAATTCTCCCAAAACTAATGAACCAATAAAGAAATGGGCAAGTGAACTAAACAGAACTTTCTCAAAAGAAGAAATTCAAATGGCCAGAAAACACATGAAAAAATGCTCACCATCTCTAGCAATAAAGGAAATGCAAATTAAAACCACACTAAGATTCCACCTCACCTCTGTTACAATAGCCATCATCAGCAACACCACCAACAACGGGTGTTGGCGAGGATGCGGGGAAAAAGGAACCCTCTTACACTGTTGGTGGGAATGTAAACTAGTACAACCACTCTGGAAAAAAATTTGGAGGCTACTTAAAAAGCTAAACATTGATCTACCATTTGATCCAGCAATACCACTCTTGGGGATATACCCAAAAGACTGTGACACAGGTTACTCCAGAGGCACCTGCACACCCATGTTTATTGCAGCACTATTCACAATAGCCAAGTTATGGAAACAGCCAAGATGCCCCACCACTGACGAATGGATTAAGAAAATGTGGTATCTATACACAATGGAATTTTATGCAGCCATGAAGAAGAACGAAATGTTATCATTCACTGGTAAATGGATGGAATTGGAGAACATCATTCTGAGTGAGGTTAGCCTGGCCCAAAAGACCAAAAGTCCTATGTTCTCCCTCATACATGGACATTAGATCAAGGGCAAACACAACAATGGGATTGGACTTTGGGCACATGATAAAAGCGAGAGCACACAAGAGAGGGGTGAGGATAGGTAAGACACCTAAAAAATTGGCTAGCATTTGTTGCCCTTAACGCAGAGAAACTAAAGCAGATACCTTAAAAGCAACTGAGGCCAACAGGAGAAGGGGACCAGGAACTAGAGAAAAGGTTAGTTCAAGAAGAATTAACCTAGAAGGTAACACCCACGCACAGGAAATCAATGTGAGTCAATGCCCTGTATAGCTATCCTTATCTCAACCAGCAAAAACCCTTGTTCCTTCCTATTATTGCTTATACTCTCTCTTCAATAAAATTAGAGATAAGGGCAAAATAGTTTCTGCTGTTTATTGAGGGGTGGGGGAGAGGAGGGCATGCAGTTGGTGGTAATGGAGGGGGTGGGGGCAGGGGGGAGAAATGACCGAAGACTTGTATGCACATATGAATAACAAAATAATAAAAAAAAGAAACATAGACCCATGAGGTGAGCCTTGGGAGCACTGAGAACTCCCTCCTTATTACAACCTCTGGGGCCTGTGTTCATGCTCAGACGGACACTGCTAAGTTGGAAGGGAACCTGGAGATCTCTCTCCATGTCTTCAGTCCTGCTGTGCATTCAAGACCCTGTGGAGTATTAGTTAGTGGGACCCCAATCAGAGGCTCAGAATTGTTTGGTCAGGGCAAGACCCTAGCAGTTGCTACTCTTTAGAAATTCTCTGTTCAATTTGAACATGCAGCCAGGGTTGATAACCAGAACCGCACCAACCCTTTCATTTTCCTGATAATAACCACTTCCACACGACCGACATTATTCTAAACAGCTTGTCAACAACATTGTCACACTGCACAGAAAAAGGTCCTGTAGGCAGCTCCTGTGGAGACCAAGATATAAAGGGGTCATGTGGCTTCCTCAAAGTTAAACAGCCAGTCACAGAGCTGAAACCCAAGCCCCTGTCAGTCTGACACCAAATCCTCCCCTCTTCCACTGTCTTTGACTTTGAGAAAACCACTCTGGAGAACTGCTCAAGCTTCCAGGTGGGCAGGGTAGAGCTGGGGCCAGAGGCTGAGTCTCCCTGGCCCAAACCCGGTTCCCAGCTATCCTGTGCTTCCCCAAGGTGGGCAGGGTCAGAGAGGCTCACTGGGTTTCCTCTAAGTCCTTGACATGCTACTTGCGCCTTCAGGAAGCAGCTGTTGCTGCACTTAACTTCACAGACCCATGGCAGTTTAAATCTGGTTGCTATGCCCTCTGTCCCCAAGGAGCCTGACAAGAAGCTGTGGCAGCCCAATACTGAGTTGAGGAAGCTGTTGATCTGTTCAGAGCCTGGAACGCTGCTGCCTGGGAGAGGTGCCTGCCAGGAGCCATGCAGGAAGGTTTTGGGTTTCCTTGGGAAGCCCCTCGTACATCCAAGACCCTCGTCCATCCAAGACCCTCGTCCAACAACCAGGAGTGTGAAGGCAGGATTTCCTTTGGTCAGAGGATCATTTTGAGGGTTGGCACTGGGGATGTGGTGAGAATAAAAACAAGAACTGCAGCATTAGGCAGCGCTTCCTGCTTTCTCTGTGAGTCTTCACCTTTGGGGCCTCCAGGGAGAGGCAGGGGACCTCACCAGCCTGGGGCCAGCACTTTGGGTTCTCTAACCATGCCAGCCATGCCCTTCAGAAGGCACTGAACCACTGTGAACCTCAGTACCTCCCTCTGGGGATCAGCCTTCTTGCCTGCCTCAGGCCTCTCTTTGGATGGGAAATGCAGCCACCTTTGGGGCCAGGCCAAAAGGACTGGGCTCCACATAGAACTAGAATGAGGAAGGGGACAAAAAAGGCCATAAAAGAATATGGTTTAGCAAGAGGCTGGCCGGGCCTAAGAGGAAAGAGGAGGCTTTGGGGCTCAGAA